TGTGTGTGTGTGTGTGTGTGTGTTTGCATGGTGTCACATCGAGGGTAAAAGTGGTAAGATGCAAACTCATTATAGATCATTGGGGTAAGTGGTTTGAACCAGTCAGCCATGTAAACACTGTTACACTTCATCTCTCCCAGCATCGCTCTGCACCTCATTCATATACCTCTCCATGGATAGATGGATAGATAGAGTGAGAGCGAAACTAAGTGAGAGTGCATAGGGTGAAAGTGAGCGGGGCATATCCCACCATGATTCTCAGAGCAGTTCGCCTAATACCGGAGGAGTAAGTCGCCAAGGGAATTGAGATATCATGCTAATGAAGTTAGGTGGCGCGTCTTTAGGCCCCCTGGAGAGGGAACGAGGGGGTGGAGGTGCATGTAGACTGTGGGTACATGGATGGGGTATCGGAACACAAAGCGGATCAGGAGTGAGACATGAAGCAGAGCGATGACTCTCCCATCCTTCATGCTGTCAGAGCCGTCAGTCGGCCGGTTGAAAGAGATGAGCAGCAGTGACACACTCTTCTTCTCTGCAAAGCAAGACAAGTGGTCCAGTCCAGAGGTAGGGGCAGGAGATGAAGAGGAGCAACGACAGAGTGATTGGAGGATGAAGGAGTGGTGATGGACTGGCAGGCATACGCCAGATGAGTCATCCTGGCCTGGGGGAACGATGGGTACTTTTTCAAACATCTGTCAGGTCACATTCTTTGATTAACGGGAGGCTGAAGCTGAGGAGAGGAGGATCAGTTTATGATACACTGCACGAATGAGGTTTCTGTCAAAATGCCACACGACTTGGCTGTTAATGAAAAAATACAGTGTTCATTTAATTCTGAAATACACATAACATCTTCTGGTTCGCAAAAAATAAATAGCTGGTTTCTCAGTTTGTCTATGTGCACCAGCAGTTGCTATTTGCTAACATGCCCTCTGGATTAGTGTTTCTCATAATTTGAAACAGAAAAATCAATTCAACTTGTCGCTTTTGATTCTTTCCCTTCCACAGACGTGTCTCAGTCGGGCTTTTGTGGGTCGGGTGGTTGTTTAACGGCAAATAATTCACACTCCGCTCTGTGAAGCGTGCTGAAGTTCAGTAGAGGCTTGATTTTAGTTTTACTTTTTGACATATCCAGGTTTCAATGTGGGGCATTGTCACAAAAACCATTTTCTTACAAATGTATTTAAGCTCCGGGCTTCCACCATATTTAAGTTATGATTCTTAGTTAAACTGTTGGGAAATTGTTTTATATCCGCGGCTCCATGCCTGCTGTTAACTTGCATCTCTTGTTGGAATTTTGCATAGAAACGATTAAGATGGATTACACTTAAATCTTCTCCTCTATTGCAATATGCATATCCATTGTTCACACCACTTCCTGTCATGTTGCCACCTGTTTGGCAAATATGATGCACTTTCTGCTTGATTTTTCTCTCTCAGGACCTTGTGGAGGAAACGTACCCTGCATTATTGTTCCTGCTCACAGTTCATTACTTTAAAGTAACATTAGGTATTTTTTAATTAACAGCTTCAAAATCATTTTGATTGGACACAAACTAATATTAGGGAGAATGGCATCTACACGCCTGGAACTGTACTATGTAGCTCGTAACGACCCACTTTACAGCATACACCACATTCCAAAAACAAGAGTCAAAGTTAGCAGCTAGCTAATAAGAAACAGAACATTAGTGACCTTCAGAGTATATTTTGTTGCCGATTGCTAAAAGAGGCCAAAGGATGCAGGATGGATGTGCTGTTGTTATTGGACAAATAAATAATTTGCACGTTTGCTTCATATTGTGCTGTGCTGCTTGCTTGGCTGTGTAATTCAATTTTATTTGTATATCGCCAAAACTTAATATACATTATCTCAAGGCACTTTACATAGAAGGTGTAATTGAAGTTGTCGTCTCCCTAGAAAACAGGAAAATCAATTTCAATAGAGGTTTAGCAAGTTAGCCGAACAAGATGTGATTTGATACACATCATGCTCGGATATCGATAACTGTGTCAGCTGTTTGCTTGCTGTGTTAGCTTGTATGCAGCTGTGCTACTGTCAGCTGAATGCAACAAATGTGCAAATGTGTCCCGCCAGATGCCAAAAACCTTGTCGGTCAACTTGATTCTTTGGCTCCTGAGGTTGCTGCTTCATTCTCCGTCAGCTAGCAGTGGAGCCCAAGAGTGAATCTTGCATTGAAGCGCTTTGAAACAGAAAACAGAGCTCATACCCAACAGTTAACGCTGCTTGAGTGTAAGGAGTCATTCTGCATCATATCAGTTGTCAATTTGTGGATTTCACAGTTCAGACCAAAACCCTCCGGTCAGGGTAGCTAGTGTCCGACGAGCTGCTTTATGGCTCCACACAGCTCTTTTGTTTCAGACTGTAGGTGACAGAGCAGACGGAGCGAGTTGCTGCAGTGGGAGCAGAGTCGCGACTTGATTTGTGTCTGCGGCGTAGCAGCCATCACTCACCGCTAACTGTGTTAGCCATTAGTAACAATTAATCTCGACAAACTCTATTGGCCATTACGCTCAATACATCACACCACAGACTCTGCTAACTACACACCACACAGAACGTGGCGGCGGCACACGGCCCCGTCGCTCTGTGGGAGAAGATGAGAGATACATGTGTCATTCCACATATGGCTAAGTGGGAGAGAAAGAGAGTTACAACTGGAAACAGGGAGGGAGACAGAGGCCGGGGGAGAGGGTGATAACTCATGCAGGTCCTGTGGGACGGAGGAGCCTCTGTCAACACAGTAAATATATTCTCCGAATTTGTCATAATAGTTCATTAGTGCTGGGGAAAGATTTACGCTGGTGGCAGGGGTGAGGAGGGTGGATTAGGAAAAGACGCATTTTGTTTTTCAAAATACATGTTCGTGAAACTCTCATACATAAACATATTTTAAAACTGCCTGACAGTTGGCACTTTACCACATAAACTTATTTCCATTAAGCCTTAAGTCCCTCCTTCCCCTTCTTTCTCCATCCCTCTATTTTTCCTCTCTCTCTCTCTCTCCTGCAGTTTCAAACAGCTTGAATTAGCCCCCCTCATCATTCTGCTCTTTATAATCCTCCCCTCTTCCCCCTTTCTCCTCTGTTGTCACCATGAATGGAATAATCTATTGCTCTTCACATGGTGGGCTGTGCATTATCTAATATAGGAGATGGGAATGTGTTGGACAGTGAGACAGAGAGAGAGAGAAATAGAGAGAGGCAACGTGTCATGACTCGTATATCATGTTGAT